AAATACATAATATTCCATAATAGAAACAACAAATGTATATATAAATAATATATAAAACAAGTATCTTTATCCTCGAAAAAACAAAACCTCCCATGTAAAAGATTTGAGTTATTAAATCGAAATTCATGTCCTAAAAGGTGTTGTTTATTTTTTTCAACAAATTGATATTGGCATTTAGGGGTTTCTCAAATTAATAATTTGCGGGGCGAAGTACCTCCTACCTTAGTTGTTATTGTACCAGTTTATATGAATGTTGTTTTCCTATTTAAATTCAACCTGGTTCTGTCTCCAAGTTAGGAAATTCAGCTACTTCCACTGGCTGCAACCACAGATCTTCATGAGTAAGACGAGTAGATTTGGCTGGGCAATTGAATAAGTGCAGTGTGGCATGAGAGCCCGTACCACATGCTGGGCAAACATTCTGCGCCTGGTCACCAATCCATGCCCAATACGAATTGAGACAACTGCACCATCCTGAACGTAATTGAGCCAAAACTACTCTGGTTTGTCTGGGCAGCTGACGTTCTTCAGCGGCTATGGACGGGGGGTGGTCTCCGAGGAAGGCATTCATTCGGTATTCCTTCAGCGCTGCGGCAACTGCATGAACGCTATTCAGACCTGCTCGGACCTTTTATAACGTTGGACCTCTCTAGATCATGCAGGTCCTTCCTGACAAGCCTGGATGGGGGTGTCTTATCCTTCTAGTATTCACAGGCCACATGGAACCGCACAGCTAGCCACAGACAGATCTATAGCTTTGTAAGAGGTCAACAAGGTTTCCTTATCTGCGCCCCAAGTGCTAGCAGCAAGCGACTAGAAGACTTTGTTCCAACTTTTCAACTTATCGCAGATAAGTTGATTCTTGTTAGGCAGATTTGCTACATAACTCAAGGTATCAAATTAAAGCGAATTCGTTTAAAACAGTGAAAAAATCCAAAATGCAATCGAAATATTGCGAGCTCTACCGCGATTTCAGCATTATATTCTGATCAAGAACATATACATTGGTCTCACTGGTAGATATATGAAAATGAAAAGTCCCCTCAAAGGAGAATTCAACATAAATTTTCAGCGATTATTTGTTTCCTTCGGCAATCATCCGTTTTTATATCCTCAGCTTTATGGCTATGAGGGTAGGGTATATACACTTTAGTACGGCAAAAATGTGTCCCATCAAAATATTCATTTTAGGCCCCATGTTTCTTTGTACCGAATTCAGACAATTTGGAGGTGATTTTCAAACATCTGGCTGGCTGTTGCGCACGATAACTCTCGAAGGGAGTAATCAATCGAGTACTTTGCACTCGTAATATTTCTTCCAAACATAGTTGAAGTTTGAATATGGTAAATATCGGTCCACTCCAACAAAATGGTCAAAATTGTGCTACAAAATTCATTCATGCGAATAGACTATCCTTTTTGAACCAAACTTTGCAAAACCTATTATCGTTACCAAGCCTAGATCAAGTCCGATGATGAAATCAAAACTTTGAAACGAACGGAATATCTAATTTTCATCCAAACTTTAGTCATTGTAATACTTTTAGATCGAGTCCAAAGATGGCACCGATTTGAACTAAACTTTGCAGAACCTAATATTTTCAACATGCCCGTATAATGTTCACCCAAAAGGGTGAACTTTTTGAAATTTTTTATTTTAAATGAAAGAAACGGAGTATTCAATTTCATCCAAACTTTTGTCATCGTAATCTTGCATATATCAAATTCAATGCTGACACCAGTCGGTCCACCACTTCTGTTACCTCTCCCCCAAAGTGTAAAAATCTTGAATACTTGTTAATCCAATATCAATCTATTGGAAGGTCTGATTTGATCCAAACATTGCAGATAGCTATAGTTGAGGTGTGCTTAGGATATCTAACTTGTTGAAATTGTTTACAAAATTGTCTTAAAGAATATTGAGATAATCAGCATTATACCTTCTATCATAACGTTCCACCAGGTGAAACACCCCGAAAGCAAATAAATTGAAATCGCTAAAGATTTGCGAGCGGCTCCACTATATTTGTTGCCATCTGATTGGAAACGGTTCATTTTGGTCTCATCAGACAAAATCACATGTTTCCAATACTACGATTTTCAATTTAGATTTTTTAAAAAAATTTAGACGCTCCTTGTTTTTTATACCCTTCAACACACTGTGGTACAGGGCATTATGTCTTTGTGCATATGTTTGAAACAGGCAAAAGGAAACGAGATAGACACATGGTTCCTTCTGAGAATATACATAAAATCACTCTCTATGTCGATTTATGCATGTCCCTCCATCCGTCTGTCTGTCCATGTTAAACTGTAAACAAAGTACAGGTAGCATTTTTGATTGGAATAGGATGAAATTTGGCACAGCTCATTCATTTGGCCCGAGGACGAACCCTATTGAAATTGGGAAAAATCGGTTCAGATCTAGATATAGCTCCCATATATATATTTTCGTCCGATTTTTGGTAAATGGTGCACCAAAGTACCTATATATCCTTCGATTTGCACGAAATTTGGCATAGAGTACTGAATTAAGTCTAGAAAGATGTGTGTTAAATTTCGTTAATAATCGGTTCAGATTTAGATATAGCTCCCATATACATTTTCGTCCGATTTAAGGTAAATGGTGCACCAAAGTCCCTATATAACATTCCATTTGCACGAAATTTGGCATAGCGTACTGAATTAAGTCTAGAATGATGTGTGATAAGTTTCGAGAAAATCAGTTCAGATTTAGATACAGGTTCCACATATATTTTCGTCCGATTTAATGTAAATGATGCACCAAAGTCCCTATATATCCTTCGATTTGCACGAAATTTGGCATAGCATATTGATTTGAGTCTAGAATGATGTGTGTACAATTTTTTTTTTCAAATCGGTTCAGATTTGGATATAGCTCCCATATACAGTGGTGGTCACGTAATTAAAACATTTATTGTGGTAAACATTTTTTGATCAGCCCTCGATTCGTTTGAAGTATTTTCGAAATTTTTTTAATTCAGAACACTTCCATGCAATTTTTCATTAAATAACGGTTTTTATGAAAATACATCGGTTTTGAAGTGGCCACATAATTAAAGCATTGTGTAATTTTTTGCTTTGCTGCATTTTTTTGAAAATAATTTTTAAAAAGCTCTTTAATTTAGTTAAATTAGGTATACTAAGCGCCGATAAAATCATTTACAGATAAAATTTTTTGAAAAAGATCTGTAAAATCTATCAAAATTGCCAAAAATGTGTACAGTACACCTAACATTCAGAAAATCACCTTTATTATAGAAAATAAAGGTCCGAATGCACTAGGAACAGAAATTGATTTTTATACCATACACAACTATGTTGTCAGGGTATTATAGCTTTGTGCAGCCCCAAAAGTTTGTAACGCCGCGAAATATTGGTCCTAGACCCACCTTTAAGTATACCAATCGTCATATCTCGACTAGCTGAGTCGATCTAGACATGTGTGTCCGTCCGTCTGTCCATTATAATTTGTAAACACGATACAGGCTACAGTTATGGACCAATCTTCACGAAATTTTCCATATAGGACGGATTCGGGCCAATGAAGACCCCTATTGTTTTTGGTAAAGATCGGTTAATTTTTAGGGGATGAAATGGACCAAATACTTATTTTTTTCGGTTTTTCTGGTCGCTCTAGAGGCCGCAATGATGGTCCGAACATCGTGAAATTTTACATGAAGAAGGGGATCGGACCAAAGAATAACCTTGATAAAGATCGGTCATCATTTAGCGGGTAAAATGGACCCTGACTTTTGTGTAAAAATTGACAAAATTTGTATTCTATGGCATATATATTTACTCTTGAAGTTGATAATATATCCAAGAAGATTGGTTGGCCTTTAAATTGATACAAATTATATTGTCGTATGTACTCGGATGTGGGAGTTACACTTAAATATTTATAGGTGCTTACGTACTCAGATATTATTTAGTAATCCATTACCACACTAGAGGGCGAAAATATAGCACTGGTTGCTTTGAAATTGTCCATGAAGTTCCAGTTATGGTCAAGGACAACTACATTAATTTTTGGTGATGATCAGATAATAATTTTGGGATGAATTGGACCAAAAACTTAATTTTTTGTGTTTTTTTTCGAGTCGACCCGTATGCCACAATAGAAAGAAATACAAGGGATGGACTGAATATTAGTAAGTCCTGATTTAGATTAGGCGAGTTTACTTGCGGCAATTTTTATCGTTCTCTTTTGAACTTGCTTCATCCGTCTATACAAGGCAATTCGGTTTCAAAAAAATATTTTTTTTTACATTTTGTGACAATGTTCTGGATTGGTATTTCAAATCACTGACACTACAAACAAAATACACAAAAGGAATTGCCATAAAATTGTCGGTACGGGCAATTTTTTTCAAATTTTATTCCCCTTGTCCCTCTCTCCGGCAAACAAAGAATTGCCGCAAGTAAACTCGCCCAATCTAAATTGAGACTAATATTCGGAAAATATTTCAGTTTAAGGGACATGTGCTGTTGACCTCTAATCGGGCAGGAGGTTGCAACTATAACGAAATATTGCCCAGGTTCGGAATAAATATCCGCAGAAAGTTAGAGTTCCGTGGTAGTTGTGTAGGGTATCGTAGCGTATATGTATTCACGAGTAATAAAAAATCTAATTTTTGTTTTGGTACGTTTATGTCAATTCGTAACTTTTGTGAACAAAAAGTACGCTTGTTACAATATTAAAAATAGCGCAACTCTAATTATTCTCTCAGGAGAGAGAAACTCTCAACACCAATCCCAATACCGATAAGTGTAAAACCCCGCATACTCATTGAGTTCTTCTTTATCTGTCATTTTGTCTTCTCTCCCATTCGTTAGCTAGTGGAACGTTTTTTAATTTTTGTTACATCTGTTTTTTGCAACAAGTTTTGCAATAAACAATTCGGCTTTTGAATATTTTGAATTTATTATTTAACACCCCGCCCAAGTGAACAACATCAAAACCATTTTCACATTTTTCAAAATGATACATGATATACTTTTGTCATGTCTCAATTTGCAAAGTGAACAGTTGCCCATTGAAGAGTTCTTGGCATCGGAGGCGGTGCATAAATATTTCCATCCCTGCGAAAGGAATATCCTGGAGGATATAATACGAATTATCAATTTGCTGCGGGATATAGCAAGATTTGCACAAATCTATAGTATAAATCGTAATATTTCTTCGAATACTTGTGTTTTCGATACAGATGAATCGCTGCAGAATGGTCTGTACTTGAAGGCATTTGCCAATGGCATCACAGAAGTCTTGGATGAATATTTGCAGGATGTTGCCGAGCTGGAACGTAAATATCTGATGCATCCAAATCAGTCGCTGATGTTTATCTACCATAAGCTGCAGGAATATGAGCCACTGGCATTGTATTTGGCCAATTTGATTCGCGGTGTCTGTGTACAGAGGTTACATGGCTGTGCCATAATTCAATATTTGCAACAAAATACCCTACATGGGGATGCTCGGGCGATTAAGGCTGTTAAACTGCTTCAGAACAAGGTCAATGTAATCTTTCTGAAGCAATTGACTCATTGGATACTGTATGCCAAACTGCAGGATACATATGGAGAATTTTTCATACAATGCTCAGAGGGTGATGGCAACAGTACCTTGGGTAGCGATAAGGGTACTACAACAGGTAGTGGTCGTTATACAGCCACCTGCAATTCGGAAATGGCTAGCAATTATGCCGACATTTGGCGTTATGAGGTACGCTATGAATTGTTGCCATCCTATTTGTCATACCTGTGGGCTGAGAAGGTCCTTTTCATCGGTCAAACTGTATTGATATTCAAAGTTGATACGGATAAAGTGAAAAAGAAATGTCATGTATGGAATAAAGATGAGAATAGTTATCTCGATCTCAAGCAATCCTTTTGGAATGACAAGGAACATATTTACTTCGCCAAAATACAAGCCCTACTGCATGATGATGATTTAATTGTTTCCCATTATGAAAGTGTAATCGATGAACTGAAGACCTATGTGACCACACGTCTATCGGAGATTGCTGTGAACCAAGCCGATTTGGTTAAACAATTGAAATTATTCAAAGACTTCTTTTTACTGGGACGTGGTGAGCTGTTCCTGGAATATATCCGACAAATTTATATTATAAACAAGGAAACTGAGAACACAAACAAGTTAAGAGATTTCGTCAAGGCTTTCGAGTCGGCAGCTCACAGTATTGGTGTCTCCGAAGAGTTGGAACAATTTTCGGTTAGCATGCCTAAAGCCCATCCAGAAACCGATGAATCTTTGGAATTTGGTTATCTTCAGCTAATTCAATTGCAGTATAAAATCAATTGGCCATTACATTTGCTATTCTCACCCAAAGTATTGGAACGTTATAACATTCTCTTTCGTTTCCTCATCCTCATCAAGAAAATGCAATATGATTTGCACATGATTTGGTGTAAATCATCAAGAAAATTCAAATTGAAATCAACCGACCACAAAGTGAAAGTTATGCTTTTGCGTAACGAGCTGATGTTCTTTGTCGATAATCTACAGTATTACATACAAGTTGATGTCCTAGACAGTCAATTCAGTATTCTACTAAACACCGTCTTAAATGAGGCCGATTTCGAACAAATTCAACGGGCCCATAGTGTCTTTCAAGCGAATATTTTATCCCTATGCTTTCTGCAAACAGATGATGATCACAGTCGCACAAATGTCCTGCAGACATCTCTATTGAATTGTAACAATCCTGTTTATTTGATTATTAACGAAGTCTTTCACATTTGTAATGATTTTTGTACATTAATCGATAATGAAAAATCCGAGGAGAATGTTGATGAGAATACCGATAAATTGGGTGAACGCTTTGCTACCTTAGTGCAGCAGCTCATTAATTTATTGGTTGGTTTAAAATCTGCAACAAGCACTGCTCCGCTATCGCAGCTGCTGTTACGTTTGGATTATAACCATTGGTTCAGTAGCCGAAAAATTGATAATGCTGGAATCTCATAGGTTATGTTGGAATAAATGAAAGTAAATTGTTATTTTACATGCCGTTTTTTTATAAATAAACTTTGGAAGTTAAATTCATCTAGTTTTATTGACATAATTATCTGAAATATTGCGTAAAAGTATAATTTTGCCACAGACTAATTGCTTTCTATAAAATCATGTAGTTTCTATACAGACTAATTCGACTTTATAAATACCTCAACCAAGAAACCAAGCTGTCTGATACCTGTAGCTTGCACCGTTGCGATGGTTACAACGTGTTGCGAAAGGATCGCACTAGAAGCGGAGGTGGGGGACTTGCTTTCTTGTTACACCACTCTGTACAATACAGACCTATCTCGCTTGAGCTAGACTCTAGTGACCCATATATGGAGTGTATGGGGGTAGCAGTCAAGTGTGGTACTGCCGAGATAGAGGTGCTTAACGTGTACATCCCGCCGTTAAATAGCTGTACCCCGCGTTATTTACCCGACATTAGTTTACTTTTGGAGGGTAATAACCGTCTGGTACTAGGGGATTTCAATGCCCATCATGAACTCTGGCATTCCGTCCTAGGTAATGACCAGAGGGGTACAGCGCTGGCATAGCAAATTGACAGCTCCTCGTTTTGCACGGTGAATGAGGATGCCCCCACGAGAATTAGAGGAGATTGCCACAGCTCGCCGGACATCACCATTGTGGCACCAGGTCTGATTAATGACGTAATCTGGCAACCCGTCATTTCTCTTGGTTCAGACCACCTCCCCATCATCGTCTCCGTAAATAGACCACCCGATTTCATAACCTCTGAACGCCGAACTTTCCTGAACCATGGTAAAGCTGATTGGCAAGGTTTCAGAGATTTAACCAATCGCCGCTTCAGAGAGCTGCCCATTCCCTCAGATCCTCGGGTAGCTGAGAGGAAATTCCGAGACATCATCACTGCTGCAGCCGCCCGCCATATACCTGCTGGTCGTATACCCGAAGTGAGACCAAACTTCCCAGCAGAAGCGACGGTGCTTGCGAATGAGCGTGATGAGCTTCGCCGTACAACACCTGAAGACCCAAGAGTGAAGGAACTCACCCTTGAAGTCAACAGGTTAGTATGCGAACGCAAGCGGAAAAAGTGGCTAGACCACCTGAAGCTCTGCAACATTGGAGCCGCAACAAGTAAATTGTGGGCAACGGTTAAGTCACTCTCGAATCCTGGAAGGAAGGATGATAGAACGGCTGTCACGTTTAACGACGTAACGTTGACTGATCCGAAGAGGTGCGCGAGTTTTTTTAACCGGCAGTTTATTGAGCACCCCGAGAGTGACATGGCGAAAAGGAGTGTGCTTCGTCGCATTAGAGCCCTCCGAGCCGAGGAGGTACCACCACAATTTTCGAAGGATGATGTTGCAGATGCCATTCGAAACGCTAAATCATCCAAAGCGTTGGGCCCGGATGGAATCTCGATGATAATGCTGAAGCAACTGGATGAACCTGGAGTGGAGTATTTAACTACTGTTCTCAACCTGTCGGTAGCCACCCACATTGTTCCTGAAGCCTGGAAAATAGGCAGGGTGGTCCCGCTACTGAAGCCAGGCAAGGATGCCAGCAGAGGGGAATCGTACAAGCCGATTTCCCTTCTGTCTCCAGTAGCAAAGACGCTTGAGTCACTACTCCTCCCTCTGATGAGAAGTAGGTTTCCAGTCCCTCAGCACCAACATGGATTCCGGAGAATGCATAGTACGACCACAGCATTACACGCCATAACCACACATGTAAGTAGAGGACTTAACCAGAACAGGCCGTGCGACAGAACAGTCTTGGTGGCTCTTGACTTATCGAAAGCCTTCGATACTGTCAATCACGCCAAGCTGTTCGAGGACATAGAGAAGACCAACCTCCGGCCTAGTTTGAAACGTTGGGTAATCAATTACATGTGTGGTCGCCAGTCATATGTGGAATTCAGAAACAAGAAGTCTAAACCCCGTAGAGTGAAACAGGGAGTTCCCCAAGGTGGGGTCTCATCTCCGGAACTGTTTAACCTCTACCTTTCTGAAATTCCACAACCACCGGACGGCATTGAGATCGTAATGTACGCGAATGATTGTACGATCATGGCGTCGGGCCCTATTATCGATGACATTTGTGAACGGTTAAATGTCTACATAGCTGATTTAGCACAGTTCTTCCATCTGAGGAATATGACGATATCCGCCGCCAAATCCTCAGCCACTCTGTTCACCACATGGACGGCTGAAATGAAGCTCCCTCTGAACGTCATGGTCGATGGTGTAATAATTCCGACCACTAATTACCCAAAAATTTTGGGAGTAACGTTCGATAGCTTATTTAAGTCGTCCGCGCAAGCCACCGCTATTTGCGATAAGATGAGAAGTAGGAACAAGGTCCTCAAGTCGCTTGCCGGCAGCTCTTGGGGTGCTGATAAAGAGACCTTGTTGACCTCTTACAAAGCAATAGGTCGGTCGGTGGTAAGCTATGCGGCGCCAGTGTGGTATGCGAATGTAAGCGATACGCAGTGGAAGAACATACAAACCTGCCAGAATGCCGCCCTGAGAACTGCGACAGGGTGCCTCCTTATGACGCCAGTGGACCATTTACATGAGGAGGCTATGGTCTTACCCGTACATCGGCACAATAGGATGCTGTCGATGCAGTACCTGCTTGGGTGTTATCGCAGGAATCATCCATGTCATAATCTTATGGATAGAATTCCCCCACCCAGGCACGTAAGGAGAGACCTACATGATCTAGAGAGAGAGGTCCAACGGTATAAAAGAGAACCCCTAGATCATGAGGCTTATCGAGCAGGAATTACCAACATTCATACGGAAGCAGTGACCCAGGCAATGGACCAATACCGTGTGAATGCTGTACTTGGAGTCCACCCACCACCTATAGCAGCAGAAGAACGTGAGCTGCCTAGACAAACGAGAGTGGTTTTAGCCCAACTAAGATCAGGATGGTGCAGCCGCCTCAATTCGTATTGGGCCCGAATTGACAGCGCGGTTCCAAACACATGCCCTGCATGTGGGTTTGGACCTCACGATACGCTGCATCTCTTTAACTGCCCTGCTAAACCCACTCATCTGTCTCCGGAATCTCTTTGGACGCAACCGTTACAGGTTGCAACCTTCCTGAACCTGGAAACAGAGGAATCAGAACCAGATCAACTTAATACGACAAACATGTAGATAGTTGCTACAACAACAACAACCGCGGAAGTGCCGATATTTCTATTTTTGTTTAACTCCATGACAATTGCTTTAAATATTAATTTTAAATCCGTTTCAAACAAATGATGTAGATCAACAGTTTTTGATTAACACTTTATTGCATGACATTTTCTTTTTTGATAAAAAATCAAAGTGATAGATTTCATGCTCAGAATGAAGGGGAAATTTTAATAAAATTTTTTTGCACCCCTATATACATGATAATGTCGAATTCTACCATATGATATCTTTATATCCTTCAACACACTGTGTTACAGAGTATTATGTCTTTATGCATACATATTTGTAACAGACAAAAGGAAACGAGATAGACACATAGTTTCCTTTAAGAATATGCATAGAATCACTTTCTAAGTCGATTTATGCAATGTCCGTCCGTCCGTCTGTCCATGTTAAATTGTAAACAAAGTGAAATTTGGCATATGTCACTTATTCGGCCCAAGGACGAACCCTATTGAAATTGGGAAAATCGGTTCAGATTTAGATATAGCTCCCATATATATATATATATATTTAACCGATTTAATGTAAACGGTCACTATATATCTTTCGATTTGCACGAAATTTGGTACAGCCTAATCATTTAGGAATGAATGTCTGCCAAGTTTCGTGAAAATCGGTCCAGATTTAGATATAGCTCCCATATATAGTTTCGTCCGATTGCATGTAAATGGTGCCCCAAAGTCTTTATATATCTTTCGATTTCACATTTGGCATAACGTGTTGAATTAAGCCTAGAGTGATGTCTGCCAAGTTTCGAGAAACCCAGTCCAGATTTAGATGTAGCTCCCATATATAGTTTCGTCCGATTTCATGTAAATGGTGCACCAAAGTCGCTATATATCCTTCGATTTGCACATTTGGCTTAACGTGTTGAATTAAGCCTAGAGTGATGTCTGCCAAGTTTCGAGAAACTCAGTCCAGATTTAGATATAGCTCCCATATATAGTTTCGTCCGATTTCATGTAAATGGTGCCCCTAAGATCTATATATCTTTTGATTTGCACGAAATTTGGCATAACGTACTGAATTAAGCCTAGAGTGATGCCTGCCAAGTTTCGAGAAAATCGGTCCAGATTTAAATATAGTTTCCTTTTATTATAGATTGATTTTAAGTAATTGACGCACCATGGAACCAATAGGAACAAAACGTTCTGAAATTAGTATAACCTAACCTGACAAGTTTGTTTGAATTCGCTTAATATTTGGATAGAGCTTCCATATATATTTTCGCCCGATTTCAAGTAAATTGGGCATCAAACTCCTCATGTTAGTCAGATTGACATCAAATTTTGCACAACGTACAAAATTGAGCATAGAATTACATAGTTGCGTTTTTTAGAAGTACAGACATAGCCCAACGGATGACCTATTTATATTTGTTTGAAGTCGATTTACATACTTTATGGATAGATCTAGTTTGATTCACATTTAGATAAATATCACATATTTTATTTCATCCAATTTCATGCTAATAGTCCTGTTTAATATGCCCATAGTGGTGAAGGGTATCATATAGTCGGCCCCGTTCGACTTTACTACTTTCCTTACTGGTTTTGAGACACATGATGATAGATTAATATGTTATTATTGCGTATAATTTGTTTGAAATCACAAAATTATGATAAACTGCATTTAAAAACCAATTTTAAATAGATACTTAGGTTTGTGTTGCTTTTATTCCGAATGAATCTCTCGCTTACACAAACAGCTGATTTGCAATACGATCGTACAAGATAGGGTTACCAAATGTTCTCCTTAAATCAATCAACAAAT